ATCATCTCATAACTACTCACAAAATAGTTAAACAGAAGATATGAACAGCTTTTTTTTTTTTTTTTTAAGATTTGCAATAGTATACAATCTTCTATTCTTTCATTTGAATGTTAACAATTGAAGCAAAGTTCTACTGTGATGTAATCTATTAAAAAGTTTGGATTATATCAAATAGAAATAAAATGTTAGAACATTCAGGCTTCAGAAAATCTGAAAAGTTATAGAAAAAGTAACAGCATTCTGATTTTATTGTGCAAATGGATTTTTGAATTATGACAGAGAAAATGGCTGTGTGTTTTGGCATTGTTTCTCTCCAGATCCTTTGTATAAAATGTTACATGAAGCTCTTAAATAAAAGGAAAATGACTTGAAAGCAAAGTTTAGTAATATATTCACACTGTTTTTTCCCCCATATGATATGTATACGTGTCTGTATATTCACATGTATATATGCTATCCAGCAAAAAACTAAATTTGCATTGATGTTCAAAGCTGCAGTGCATCTTTGTTTATCTCAGTTAAGCCATATAGATATGGATGTACAATAAAGCATCATAAAGTCAAAGCAGAGCCAGCCTATTCTGGGATCCTCCCATGGAACCAGATTTTCATGCTGCTTCTGTCCCTGACGGTTCTTCACATTACCCATCTGTGGCAGGGAACACAAGCGTCTTCCCTCTGAATTCCAGAAAATTATTTAGTTTTATCAAAATACCTTTGACTTTCCTTAACATTTGTCTTGTGAAATTCTTTGGCAGGGTCAGCAATGCCAGTTTGATGTTCAAATTAAAATACACAACTGGCAGAGGAAAGTCAAAGAAATGAGATGAATGGATTTCTTTAATGTGTTCACAGGCAGAATCAGAACTTCAGAATAAGGTGGAAGAATAGCTGATTCTTCAACTTCTTCCTAATTGCTTACTGACTGAGAATGTTTACTTGAAATCTATCCAAAGGCTTGTGACCGATGTGCAAAATGAAATGCTTGAGTATATGGTGATACATTCTTAGTTCAACGTTCTTTGCCAACAGTAACATCCGAGTCCTCAACAACCGTTATTTTTGTGCCTATAACTTAATTCATAAATAATAACTACAGGGCAGCTATGGATACTGCTGGCAATTCTTTCATGTGTCTTCCTTACAAGAGACATGAAAGTGCAATTCAAACCAACCAACCAACCAACCCATGAAAGTTCCTTTAATTGGTCCTACAATATAACATTGTAAATATTGTTAAAGAAAATCACAAAGAGAAAGTTCTTCCCAGTTCTTTTAAGACGCTCTCTTCTCCTTAATTAGGCATCTTCAGGCAGCTTTCTGGTTGCTCATCCCCTATCCACAGTGGAATTAGCAGGTTTGTTATTAGTGTATAAAAGCTAACAGCATATTGTTTCTTTAATATCTTCATAATGTCATAACACAATCTGCCATAATGTAAATGTCTTCAAAGCAATTTCATCTGAGCGGAATATGCAGCAAGAAATGGGAGAAAGGAAAAGAATTGCCTTTTTTACAATTCTTTCATAATCCTCACCTACTGCATTTTATCAGCGTCTTAATGTATGCTTGGGGGCATTTCTCTTTCAATAGCTATAAATATTGTGTTCATTGATTATAACCTCTCCAACAGAAACAGTTGCCTCCAGATATTAAAAGGTCATTTTCCTCTGATGTCTTTTATACTAGACAAATATCCACTTATATTTGATAACCCTCCACAAGGGTTTAAAAATTAGAAATTGTTGGAAGATCAAGGAAATGTAGTCATTTTCTTTGTTTTTAGCCCTGAAAATCTTGTATAGGTGTCTCTTTGATCTTCTAGCAGTCTCCTTTAAATTATTCTTTCTTTATATGTGCCTAAGAGATGCCACCAAATGGTACCATCTGAAACCAATAGAAAGTCCAGGGTTTGGAGATTTCCTTTCACCCCATTTCAACTGTAGATAGTTTTGCAAGATAAGCTGCAGTCATACCGATTAACAGCTGCTGCTGCTGCTCCTTTTCAAAAAAGCATGAGTCTATATCGTACTAGCAACCAGAAATAGCAGGTCCAGCTTTTGTCAGCCACTCTTTAACGTCTATACATGGACAGCAATGACAGCTAAAAACCATAGAGAAGAAGTTTGCACAAATAAATACCCGTCCAGTGATGGATGTATATGGATGCCTCTATAGAAAGCACTTTTGTACCGCCATGCCTTCTAACATATGTTTACCTGTTGCTATTGTTGTTCCCATCATATGTAACCCATTTAACAGATGTTGTCAAATGACCAGTATCTGCAGATGCATTACATTCTGAATGGTTGATCTTTCCTTAATACTTTTTAGGTAGCTGGTTTTTTTCTGTGTGTTTAAAAGTATCTTATTACTGAATAATTAGCATTTTGTTTACTATGAAGTCTACACCCCCTCTCACACACTTCTAACACACACATTATAGTAATCCATTAACTTAATTGCATGACATGTTGTTCAGAACCCACAGCATTATTTTTTAAATCCACTTCCTCCTTATTCAGGGTTAAGATCCTTTTTTTCAAACTTCTGAAATATGATATGCTTTTCCACATCATTAGCAAACCTACCACAGTTAATTACTTTTGCAATTTAGCCTCATCTTCTCCCACTGCTCCCTGTCATGACCAAATGTTAAAAGTTCAGGATTCTTACCTACTTCCATTGCCCCAGTGCAAATACGTAAAGAACTCCAAGCGACAGCTGAAACAAGTAAAATACACAGGTGGAGGGTTGACAGCTGCTGCATTTTGCTCCCAAGCTTATTTCACCCATATATCTCTTGTTAAAAATTAATTTTAGACGGCTTTAGCTTAGGAAGAAGAGAAATCAGATTGTTTGCGTATTTTGTTCATTTTCCTCAAATTCTTCAGTTCTAGGTTGATCTTGCTGTATTGTTAATTTAAACTTTCCAAGAAGAGCCTCTTTTTCTCTTGACAACATTCAGAATTATGAGTACACGCCCTGATCAGCAAAAAAATGTAGTCCACAGTCCAGCTGTGTGCACTCCAGCTGTTCTGATTCACATATCCTTCAATACACAAACACATACAGAAAGGTGCATTTCTTGCTATTGTTCCCTGATGCTCAAATTTTCACTAAACATTGTCAGTGAAATTTAATTTGGTTAAAGTACACTTGTAAGTCAAGTACTCACAATCAAACCAGATAGATAGATGGATGGATGGTTGGATAGGATAGATAGATAGATAGATAGATAGATAGATAGATAGATAGATAGATAGATAGATAGATATTCCAAAGAACCCAAATGGTAAGATATTTGATTATATAAGCCATAGAGAGATATTTGATTATACAAGCCATGGAGAAAATGTTTATTACAGTTGGTGTTTTGATTGTAATGTAACATTAGCTTTTAAGTATGCGTGTATGGATTATAATTTTCTCCATCCATATTAATTTCAAAAACAAATCACACTAGTACATAGGACAAATCTTTCTGCCTTAACTAAAATGCTACATGATTGTTCAGTTTGACTGAAGAGGTCTGCTTTACTATGAAAACAAAATGGCTTGATGTATCAGGAAAGACTTAAAACTTAAATAAAGCTATGTTTAGTTACATTGATTGCCCTCTGGGAAGAAATGCAAGATTTAAAAGGAAGATGAATTGTTTTATTTATCCAATATCATAGAAGCATTTGTAAGAGTGGAAAAGCCTTGGGAGTCAAATGGTAATGCTCCTCATTTTATATGAAATATAATGTTCCCACAAACTTTGGTGAGGATCTACTGTCTCTTAGATAAATTCCAAAATGTGATAGATTAGTATAACTTGAAGGTGAATTTTAAATGTATATTTTAAACTCACATCCACATGAATACATGCCCAAACATATCACACTATCTTATGCAGAGAATACCCCATTCTCTAGAAAGTACCTGCCAAAGGTCTTTCCAAACTTTACTAACTGTCATAATTATATACTATCGGAAGCCTTATCTACACAAGACATACGTCTGTATCCATGGGACGAAAAAGTGCAATGCATTCTCAGAGTGTGAACAATCTGCTCAACATTAAAGTAAAATCTGCTACTAATTTCATGTAGCAACTATCAGGCTGCTATTAAATTACATACTGCAGCCTGATAGTTGTGCCATATTTATGGAAGGCCGTATGAAATGCTTTAGGTTCTATCTAAATGTGGAATGTTAGAGTTTGTCCAAGATCAAACCCTAAAAAGATTTAAAGCATGCCATATAAATCCTTTGATTTTCTTTGTCTTCCAAAAAAAATGGTATCTGGCTGTCCACATTAGGGTTCACCATTAAGGATGTTGTCCTATGCCACTAAGACTCTTCTATAGGACAGCTTTTTGCAAGATGAAGTTGTTCAAAGGCTCCCCACTACATCAGGGGATCTGATCTCCTTGCCTTCCGAAGTCAGGCAGAAAGGATCAGAAACTTAGGGTTTTTAGGATCACCTTCTATGATAGTTTTGTTTTGTAAGACATCACTGATCAGAGGCAGAGTCAGGTGTAATTCCCTTTAAAGGGGATTTTTATTACAAAAATAATTATTTCTTTGCTATACAAAGTGTTTTCTTCCTTTATTTCTAGGCATTATCTTACTTTTGTTTCTCTAATTTCTATTTTTTTCTATTTTATTTAGAGTTTTACTATTTGTATCTTGATGTTCTATCCTGTTACATTCTTGAATTCTTATTCTGCCCTATACCTTTTTTTTTTCTTCTTTTCTTTAACCCATTCTCTCTTTTGGCCTTCGGGCTAATATCAGCCCCACTTCCTTTGGAAGGCCTTCCCTGCCATCTAGTACTTGAGAGTTGCTCCATTTTACAAAACTCCATTATTGCCAATTTTTGGGTTGCTCTGTCTCTCCAGGATCTATGCCCAAGCCTTTGCCAGTTCTCCTAGACTCTCCTGAAATCAGCAGCCTTCTGCTGGCAGCTGCTGACCAGTTGTTGTTGTTAAATTTATATGCTGCCTGACTATCTGGACTGCTGCCTGAGAAGGACAGCACTTGAAGCTTGAACTTCCAGCACCTAGGTTTGCTTGGTTCCACCATCATCTGGAGCTGCTCCAAAGCTTAGGCCACTGGATTCATTTTCCTTAATGCTTCATGCTGAGGTTCCTTTGCATGGATGTTCTAAAGAGTCGTAGAATTTTAGGATTCCACCTACGGCTTTTTTGGTTTGGGAAGGGCAAATGTCTCCACTATGGTGTTGTATATCAGAAGAAGACATACTGAGCCAAGTGACCTTAAATACTACCTGCGCTGTAGCAGCATTTGTGGTCTATAATGTCCTTTCTCAAAATGAGTCATGACTTCCCTACGGCATGGAACTGGCTGGTCAGGCTCCAATGTCTTTCTCAGAAGAAACTGAGACACATTGAGACAATGTGGAGAGGATGGTGATGCTGTCTCTCATCTCACAAGGTGGAATATCTTGTACTACTCAAATAGGCTTTAATGGTGTCTATTACTTTGGAAGTGGGCCCTAGTAGTTTCAGTGATACCAGTATCTGACATCTATGCTCTGTAGCATGAAAACTGTTTAGCATTCTGAAGAATTATCTTGCCTATGCTGGCAATACCATCAAGAGGGTTCATTTGACATCACAACAGCTTTGAATACCTACCAGGCTGCTGCAGATGTCAACTTATCATCTTCAGCTACAGATGTGGTGAGATGAAACAGTTTTCTTTCTCCTCAGATGACAAGCTGAAGTGTTTATGATACAGAATAATAGACGTTCTTGTCACTAAACTCAGTTGGTAACAAGATATTGCATTTTCTGATACATTCTACCCATCTCTTAAAGATTAAACCTGAAGGCAATAACTCTGTACTGAAAACTATTTGAGAGTGTAAAATTATTTGTAATTGTTATGTTTCCCATTGTTTAGAATAGACAGAATGGATTGAAGAGTAATCTCAGTATTTTTTTTTCACATTGTTATAAGCATCAACATGCTGATTAGAAGCATTACATTAGATATATGCACTTCTATCACTGAACCATACATTCACTTAAAATGAGCATTTCATTCACAAATAGTCTAATGCACATAGTTGTTGGTTTATTAATATGTGAGGGATGACGTTACTACAAAAAGTGATGCTCACTCCTATCTATTCTTGGGTTTTAAAACAATGGAAACTTTGGAAATATCAGCTGCCTAATTCAAGAGCAGTTAAAAAATAAAGAACCATATTGGGGCAGAGTAACATTCTATCCTTTACAGAGGAAGGGTGGAGGAAAATATACCATGACAGTCCACATGTAGCACCTACCAATGAAACCATCATCCATTACTGAAATTAGTGTCATTAAGACTCTAGTATCTTCATTCCACCATGTTACAAAGGGTGGGAAGAACAGGTGGGTATTGGTGGTAGAGACCTTGAAGCTACCCATCAATAGTTCACACCTTGGCAGCAGACTAGGGGTCAGTCTTTCTTATTAAGATATTTCATAAAAGAAATGCATTGCATTATTTCTAAGGTTGCATCTAACTTTAAAGCAATTGCAAGCAATTTATAAGTTACTTGCAAGTTATTCATCTTCCTCACATGGTTACTACTTTTGTAATTTTGAAGGAGAATAATAGAATGAATAAACCAGTACTATAGGCTTTGCCGAGAATGACTTCATATACTTCATGGTCTGCTAATATGGGGAAATTGAAGTGATGAACTCATGTCATGAGAGAACATAGATCTACTTTCACGGTGATTCTCACACTCTTCTCCATGGGACTACTTGGGTTGATTTTCAGCAGATGACGGAAATACATTTTAAGGTCAACATACCCTTCATAAATTGATTCACACATGAACTTCAAACACGCTGTGGAGAATTTTCAGTGAGTTTTTCCCCTCTACCCTAGACCCAACTCACAACTGAAACTACATTTACCTTTCTATTCATTGCCAGAAATGAGCTGAGTCCTAACCAGGGAAAATAGTGCAGTAGATTAACCACAACACTCCTTTGTCTTACACTGGACTCATCATTATGTGAATTCCTCTTATAATTTAGCTGTTTTGATGTTTTAAAGCAAGGGTGCAGTGTGAAATTTCAATTGGTTCAAGGGCCAAATCAGAGTTTGTGTAGCATGTAGATGGCTGTATTTCCAAAAAGGGTATAGAGGCATGCTAGTGGGTTTCAGCACTTTTAAGGACTAAAGCAGTCTAAAAGATCATCCTTCCCTTGCACCGTATTAGAATTTCCTTTCTTACATATTTAATTGCCATTCAGTTAACAAACAGTATCTATCAAGCAAGGAATATTATTGTATAGATACTATATTGTGTTTGATATAATGGAAATTAAGAAAAATGAAATATGGATAATTACATAGAGAGAACCTAAAGATCTCTTTCAGACACATACTTTTAGGAT